CGCCGAGCAGCTGCAGAGCAAGTTGGAGACAGCCGAGAAACAGGTGCTTGTTTTTTCAAGTATGGTCGTCAACTGTTCAGGCATATGTTGAGAGATTGCCACTAGGAAGGACGCAGTCTCAGAGGGGTGTGGCTGTTGACATGCGGTAAAGAAGAGACACCACACATTTACACCCGCACTGTGCGATATGAGGAAGCGTCGGTCTTCTGTGGCAAGCTATACGTCTCTTCGTGCCCGTGTCCATGTGTTTACTTGTGTTTAGCTTCAGTTGTGAGCAGGCGGCTTTGGGGCTTGGCCGCCTTGGCCCATAAATCCGGAGCCAGAATGCACTCGCTTGAATTCAGAGCAGTCACTGCCGGGTGCGGCGACTTCGTTTATGCCCTGTGACTCTTCCGCCGTGTGCCGTGCACTGCTTCAGCCCATGGCCTCAGGGTTATGTGCATGGTGTCGAGATTGCTTGTTCTTCTGTGTCCTGCCATCTCAGCCAGGGTCAGTCTTCGGGCAGGCTCATCCAGCGCATCGATTTCCCATCGACAACTTTCTTGACTGCTCTGATTCCCTGTCTTGATGTCACCATGGTTGCCTACAGCGATGCCGGGCAGAAGCATCGCATGGAAAGCTGTTCGTGAAGCTAGCTGCCAGCTGCATCATGCTGCATCATCTCGTTGCGGGATTGGAAACGTTTGGAAGATCCGGGTCCGGAATTCATGCCACGAACCCAACTGGGGGCCAACGTCGATTTGAATTGCCCGTCAGATCGGGAGTAGACTGCAACATGAAAATGAATGATTAGAGCGGTGTTGGATCCCAAAACAGTCCGTCAAAGCCAGCCATCAAAAACAAGCAGTCGCAGACAGACGACAAACGGATGCGCGTGACATCTCGAAATTTCAGGCACCCTGAGGGCAGCCGCCGCACCGCGCTGACGGGGGCTTGCACACATCAATTCGGAATTGAGACGAGACTCACCATGCCATCTTCGCAGCACCTACAGCAAGAAACACGATGGCAATAGGAGAGCCATGCAGCGTCCATCTTCGTTCAGAGTCCACCAAAAACGTGGAACGGCCACTCAGCGCTCGTAGCTGGCTCTACCCTGCACCTTGCGGAAAGCAGAAAATTAAGTCGTTCGCTTCCTAGCTTGTCCTACGAACTCCTGAAACAATAGAAAGTTACAAGATCATCAAGAATCAGAGCACACGCAACCAGGATTGGAATTGCAAATTGACCAAGGGGAAGCCGAGAAAAGAGTTGCAAATGAATCAACAAAAACCAGAAGACATGTCCAAAAGAAAGCCCTGTAGGAAGGGTCCATGGTAAGCCTGAACAGGGCCCGGGCGGGGGCGGGGGTTAAATGTTGATTTTCCTTGGAAACAATTGGAAAAGGTCGGAAAGATTTAGACAAACGCGAAAAAACGTCGGAACAAAGTGAGAAACAAGTTGGCAAAACGTCGGAAAAAGACTGCAAAAAGTCAGAAAAAAAGACCGACATCGTACACACAGTTTAGTGGCAGCAGAATTTTCGAAGTGTTGGTTGACAGGTTTCTAATTCTGGCCAGCACCCCTTCTGAACACGTCTGATTTTCTGAGTTTTAATTGATCCGAACAAGTCGTACAAAGTAGACTATGCGAGCGACTTCAATAGAAAACATGTCACCTAGAAGAGGAGAAGAGCACTTACATTTTCTCAAACGCGGAGGCTGAATGTCAAGGCACTGCTGATCGCTCAGCAAGACTATGCAGCCACACCTTCACGGGGGTGCCGTTGCCAAAGCACTCCGAGCAGGAAGAGATACATACACTTATGGAATTTAGTTCAATAGCAAGTGGTCGCCGGGGGTTGCTGGCCGGAGAGAGTTTGGGGGCACATAGCCTGAACTGCTCCGGTGAACCCGTGAGGGAACCCAGCAGGCTTTGCCTCTGGGTTCTCTGCCTAGGTCTGGCCGTCTTGAAAAGGTTGAAGCGAATCACAGAGACAGCAAGCTCTTTGCACTGACCACTCCGTGTCGCGCGACAAGCGCGAAGAGGTGGAGGAGTACAAGCGCAGAGCCACCGAAGTCGGTCACGATCATGCTCAGAGCTGAGGGAGTGTCTGTGTTAATGTCTTGACCGGGCTTGACCCCACCAGATGGTCTTCGACAGGGAATCAGCATCCTCTCAGTAGCCTTGTGGCAAATCGGCAAAGTCTCGCCGAGCCGAGGATTCCTTGCTGTCCAAGCTTCTGGAATTCGAGGAACAGGGTCACCGCAATGATTGCAGTGCACAGTAGTGCTTGTTGAATGTATACTATGCATACGCCACTGAGATATATCGAGACGGTGGTAGATGGTGATGGCGCTCGCTCTGCCAGAGGAGCAAGCAGAACAAAGTCATCGCTTCCAGGCAAAAGAACTTCGTGAGGCACCGACCAAACACACGATCAAAGTTGCACTCCGATTGCACTTCACGAGGCGAGGCACAGACAAGAGGCAGACAATGAGGAGCGACTCAGCTTGCAGAAGGAGCTGCAGGAGTACCAGACTAGCCAGGCAAAAGGAGAGGCATTGAAGAGTCCTGTCTTTCCAATTGTTCTTGACAGGTGCACTTGCAGTCCATGCACAGGGAGTTTCTTGCCCAGAATTCCCACAGTGATTTTGAACGTGTTGTTTTGGCACAGGGGAATCTTGATCGGCATCAGGCTGCTCACGCTGCAGCGGAACTTGTCTTCGGAAGAGAACGTGCAGGAAGCCACCTGCGCCAAACTGGCGCGGCTCTTGGAATTCGGCTGGTCGAATTTCCGAAGAAGTTGAGCTGTTGTTCATCTCTGGTAGCTGCTAAAGGAATTTGCTGAAGAAGCCTTGGAACGAACGCCACTCAGAAGCTGAGTTGTCAGAGCAAGTCGACGGTAATCGACGCCTCGCAAGCCTGCAGGTCAGGAGAAGTCGCTAGCACAGCTGCGCAGCGGCCTTGCTCTAGCGACTTTAGAAATTTTCGATTGTCCACGCCGATGACAACTGCGTGAATTCAGGTTTCGAGCTACAGGCCGAGAGGGACCAAGCTGTGACTCTGCTGGCTGAGAAGGCCCACCGACAGGGGTGCCAGCAACGTGCTGATGCCGATGAATCATCACCGTCCTCGCCACAACTTGCGGCAAGTAGTCATTGCCGTTCGCCACCACAGGGACGACACGCCGATGCCGACCTGTCGGAAGCTGTCGACATCGTGGGCAAAGCAAAATTCCCGGCAAAGTTGCGGGATGCAGGTTTGGACTACAAGTCCCTGACATCCTTGCGAGAGAGACATCTGAAGCTTCTTCATTCCCGTCTGCGCGACCATAGTTTGAGAGAGTGCTTCCGCAACACTGGTGAATCGGATGATGCTGCTGCAAGACTCCTGAAAGATCTCCTGACTTGGCAAACTAGAGTGTGGCCGGCGGACCCTGTGCCATCAGCATCGCTGAGGACATCAAGGAGCCGCACGCAGTCTCCAATCCGGGACGAGCTGTGCTCGCGGCGGCGTGCCCGCTCCAGGTCCGCACCCTCGGCTACACCACTGGCACCGCGGCTCACTTCTGAGGACCTTAGTTGCCAGCCCGGTCAGGGCAAAATCGACTGGCCGAGGCAAGTAAAGCAAGGAGACGGAGGAGATGGAGAACGCAGGAGTGTTGCTGCAGAAGCACTTCGACAAACGCTGCTACGAGGAAGGTGCAGCTTGTAGTGCAGCTGGGACGTACATCCGCTCCGATTCAGATTGATTGCACTGGATGAATCGCGGTCGGCCGTCCAGCAGATGAAGCACCGCAGAGGGGCAGCCCCAGTCCAACTTCACCTCCACCGATTCAACCGCAGCATTCTGAGAGCTGGGTGCGCCCCGAGCGCATCAGCCTCGCCACGATGCTGCGTGCGCCGAGAGCCGATGGCCCTTTCATCTCGGAGAGCAGTGCTGATTCTCTTGACGCCAGAGGAGGACATTGAATACTAACATCAGCGGAGGCACTTGTCATCGCATTTGCCAGATGGGACGGCGGCGCTTGGTCGGGCGACTGAGGAACAGGGCTTCACCCTACCACGGACTACGGCTACGGCTAACACAGGCGAGAAAGGCCCTCAAAGGCTTAGAGGGTTACTGTCCTCAAGTTTTCGCAGCATGCAGCCAGGAGGACCTTTGTAAGGCGCTGGGATGCATTCCAGACCAGACGAAAGACTCCCTGCAAGTAAACGGGCGCGGGCGGGGAAAGGACACGTCTTCGCTTTTTCCAAGGGACCGAGGGGCTCAGACCTCAATCGCATGCCACTGGTGAACCTTGGTCGGGCTTGCAGGAAAACACAACTGTTGATCGTTTTCCGCACGAGCAGATCAAGCCAACGAGCATTAAATAAAGCTACGTCAGGTAGTCTGCTATACCATGGTTTCCAAACCACCTAGAGATAGAAATGCACAGCAGAGCCTTTGGCCTACAGCCGGAAATGGAACTCAGCCATGCAGAAGAGCGAGCGACGGAGACACAGAGACAGACCAAAGCAAGCCCTCCAGAGCAAGTCGCGCCTCTTCGCGCGTGCACGCACAGAGGACGGCAACATAGAGTTGCCCGGAAGGCCGACAAACAGGGTCCATGTTGGCTGTGCCATGGCAAGATTTGCACGGCCGCCCACGATCAGACCAACAAGGCAGCCTTCCTTTGGATGGCGGGCTCGCGGAGCCGGCAGCTTATTCTCGAACATCTTCACGGATGTCTGTGTGAAATGATCTTGGACGCTGAGGCGCGGTGGTTTGCTGGCTTCATGTTGCCAAAGAGCCAGCGCCAGGCATGAATCGGTTGCAAGCGGTGCTTCATGCTAACAACGCTACTGCTCGCAGGGTATTCAGAGGGAGGGCGGCGGAAGATCCACAAGGACCGTAGAAGTCAAGCAGTGGCATGTCATGGTCGAGCATCGAGGACTTTTCTGGCTGTGTGTTTGACAAGGCTGGCTGTCACGCCTTCTTGCGGCTCAGGGCTACAGGGCTCAAGCCTTCGCTTTTAGGATCTTGAACCTGCGGCCGCTGCGGCCACTGCGGCCTGTCGGACAAACTCTCGAATTTATCGAAGTTGTGAAGAGATGGCTTGGTGCAGATCTTCCGTGGAGAACAGCTTGACCCCCGTTGTTGTGTGTGCCTTCACTGGTCCAGCACCACCGCCTGGCATCGCACCAGCCTGTGGCGCAAGCAGCGCAAGCCAGTTGCTACCGGCAGAGGCGCCACTGATGAGCCCCGGCGAAGTGCTTTCAGGTGGCGTCGTCATGACCCATCCTAACAGCACAGGGTGCTTTCCGGCAATGGCCCCGGCAGGTGCCATGCCGCTGCCCTGTTTGGCCGCCGAGCTCCCTCATCCATCAATGACCGTCGACCACCAGACCTTGCATGCCAGCGAATGGCAATATATGGATCCGTTTATGTTTGGCATGGGCCCGGGCATGGGTCCTTGCTGTCAGCCGGCTCTGCCTGCCCTCCCGGACATGCAGCCTGGGCTGCCTGGGCCTGGACCTGCAGGCATGCAGCTTGCACAGGCCGTGCAGGCTGCCAATGCTGCGGCCGCACCCTTCGGATCCGGTTCGATGCCTTTGGCTGCCCAGCAGGTTTCGCCTGGCTTATGGTGCGTTGTCGTCGCAGATCCGTCTTACGGTGGAATGCCAGCACAGGCCAGTGTGATCACTGAGACCTGCCAGGGTCCTTTGCACTCCGAGCACCTGGCCACGCGAAGCACTCTGAATCTCTGCCTTTCCGAGCATTTGGCACCAATACCAGAAGCAGCAGCAGCAGCAGCAGCAGAGTGTGACAGATCCTCGACTTCTCCTCCAGGTTGGACCAGCGTAGTGCTTCAGAAACCCGAGGCAGACGTCCCGAGCACTCCACCACCACGGCAGCGCAGCGATGAGATGATCCCGACACCATCTCCCGTTCGCAGATCTCCCCAGCCGTGTTTGGCACCTTCGGCCAAGGGTTGCTTCCCGAACAAGCCCAAGGTCGCCAGCGAGCAGCGCAAGTTGCACCTCCAGCCTGACTGCATGCAGCCCGGACCCTGGCATGACGTCCACTTCTCAACGAATGGACATGAGGACGGACACGAATCGCATCCCCCGCAATTCCGGGGGAAAATGCATGCCGCAGCTTCCGGACACAATCATTCTACAGCCCACACCGTCCATAAAGGCCAGAACGGATCGAATCAGCCTTTCAAGAAGAGATATTCTCAGTGGCCGAGTGCAGGTCATGTTGCTCCCACGTCGATGCCGCACCATGCTCTGAACAAGGGTGACTCTTTGGATTCCATTTTGGAGCATGCCATTTGGGATTTGATGGAGCAGGTTTTGACGCAAAGGCCCAAGCTGGAGGAAGGCAAGCGTGTAAAGGTGACCCTGTCAAACTGGCTGAGCTTGCTTCCGGCAAGTCGGGGCAACATGTGCCAGCGACGTGCTCTCGCCAATCGGGCACTTCGCACCATGAGCAAACGCCTTCCTGGGTGCTGTTGGACAGTGGACGTCGAGCGTCAGGACTGTTGGGTTGACAGACGTGCTCACCCTTCTTGTCAGTCTTTCGTGCATCTCAGTGCAGCATGTTGCATATATGTGCTTCGGGTTGGGGATGCTGATTCGCAGTGCTGCCGTTATAAACGTGTGTCTTCAGAGATTGAATGCTGCAAATTCGAACTCCAGCTTGCATCCGAAACGAGGCACTCCCAGTACTAATGTTGTACTACCATCCAGCCAGCATCCGAAATGAGGCGCTTCCAGTACTGATGTTGTACTACAATCAAGCACAATCCAGCCTGCATGCGAAACGAGGCACCTAATGTTGTACTACAGTTGTTCTAGGAAACCCCAGATGCCCATGATGCTTTTTACTACTTTTGCTCATGATGCCTCGGCTAGGCTGCTGAGCTCTTGTGTTTGACAAGCAGGCATTTTGCGAACCAAACGTGCCAACCCCGAATGGACTTTCAAGAACCCTGACCGTTGACGATCCGGGTGGTCGGACGGAATAGAGTTAGGGTGGCGCGGTTGGCTCCGCATTTGTCTTTCTGCTTGAGTTTTGCTGCTAGCACATTCACCTGCACACGACACACGTACATGTCATGAGTGCATGTGCATAGCAGGTAGGGGCAAGTAGAGTGAAGCCACTGGGCGAAAAGAAAGAGAAAAAGACCTCGAAAGAAGAAATGACAAGAGTACAAAGATGAGCGGTAGATTTACGTTTCACAAAGGGTTCGCGTTGCATGCTTCCAGTCCGGAAAAACATGCTTGTCTCAAGAGACGCAGGCATGTTTCAGAGAGCTGTTACACGGCAAAACTGCGAATGGCTCAAGGAAAAGCCCCTGAAGTTTCGGTCGGTGTCGGCTGTCTCACTTACCTTAGCAACTCCCAAGCAACCCTTAATCTGCAAGAACCACGTGTGTCATGCTGGTTGAAGCACTTGATCAACATCAAGAAAGAAGCTCCGCAACAGTGGTGTCCTGAGGCTGGTAGCCCAAAGAACACAAACCAGCAGCAGCAGCAGTAGCAGAATATGGCAGCATGCCTCCCCTGTTGCCTGAAACTCAGGCTGAACTTCCCCGAGTCAATTGCCAGTGCAGCTGTTGCCGTCCAATATGCCCTCAGCTGCTCTCAGGGGCCTGAGGAGACAATTGCTCAGGGTTTCTATGCCACAATCACAGACAGCAAGAAGCACAAACCTCCATCTTAACTTAGTAATCGAGCGTCTACATTGGGAATGGCTGGTTTGCACGTGCTGTGATGCCACTGATGAGTGTCTTGTGCGTGCGCTTGTGAACTGAGTGTCTCCATGGTGGTTTTGAGTCTTTAGTGTTGCTCCAATGCTCCTCGAGCACTTTTCGATACAGGCATCGATTCATGCGCTGGAAAACGCAGCGTCTACTTGGAGATTCGGTGCCAAAATGTGCTCTGGAATGCAATGAAAAGTACTTGAAACCCCAGCGTCCGTGGCATGTCCTGAAAATTGGAGACTAAAAGCAGCATCTACATGGGGATGAGCATCGGCTAATGTGTATTCTCGCCGCTGATGTGTAATTCCGGGTGACGTGTATTCTCGCCGACTGATGCAAGATAAACGCTACTCTCGTAGCTGAGTGAGTACACTTTAAACTTTTTGGGATAATATGATCCCTTAGCTTATGAACTAACTCAGCAACTGAGTCAAGAAGTACGGCCCGATAATTCTCTGGTTTTCGTCCTGGTACAGGAAATGCAAGTTCACCTGGCCGACGTGGCCCGGTTCTCCAGCTTCTGTGATGGCAAGTGCTAAGTCTAAGGCAGGTTTCGTCGAATCGACGACTAGTGACTAGTGAGTGAAGGCCAGCAGATTTTTGAATTTGCACAGAAGAGGCCTCCGTCTCCCTTTGGCTGAAAGCAGTCTCTGGCACCCTCTGGTCGGAGACTCCCCGCGCTTTGATGACCTTTGTGCAAGGAATTCACATAGAACTCCCATCAGCCGGTAAGGCAGCACGAACCTGACAACATCAGCATAGCTCAAGGATGGGCATCAGGGACTCGTGAGCAAGCTTCGTTTATCTCTGCGCCTGTTTTGACTGGTGCAACTGGGAGTGTTAGCAGTTAGCAGTCGCGCGAAGAATCGCTCGCCTTGCAACCAAATTTGCAGGAGACATGCTGCAGTTGCTGAAGCACGAGCTGTAGCTTGGGTTATTAGCACGGTCAGCAGGACCCCGCAATTTAGTTGGAATGGTGGCTGATGATGCAGTGGTTCAGCTGTTGCGCTGTGATCAGAGATCACCCAGCGCTTGGGGTATCAGGGCAGCTTCTTTCGGCTTTCCAGAGCTTGAAAGAGGCATGTGAAGTAGGGTTGGCGATGCACCGCTGAGTCGTGTTCCCTGTCATGTCGGGGAATGGCCTCCATAGTGAAATGCAACGCATCTGCAAATTAGCACCAAGCTTGCCACAAGTTCTTGGCCTGACTCGGCGCAATTGCCCAGAGAAGTGACGATGCATCTTACGTGTCATAGGCTACGCCCTCCTAGCCGACGTCTCGTTCCTGTGTTTTTGATCCACTTCTCGCATAGTTGTGTAGGTGAGACATCTTCTCTGCAGAAACAGTTCCAGAGCTTCAGTGCTTCAACGAAACGAAAACGGCACGGGAGGTCGTTGCACAAAAGTCCTAGGCACCAGATGAAGGCAGGACCTCTCCGTTCTTTTAGATTTGCAGGCAGATGTCGCCTTCGGAGCTCAGCACGGTATCAGACTCGCTTCTGTCCGGATCGGCTTTTCCGCAATCTTCCGGCACTCTGAGGCTGTTCGCATTGCCTCACAGGGGCCCAGGAAGCAGGCCAGGCTATAACATTTGTGTTCAGCTTCAACTAGAGGCCACCTGTTACAGGATATGCGGTTGTGGCGCGAGTACGCTGAGGCCCTTCCCCGCTTCCAGAGCTCTTGTCGGTCAAGTGCAAGGCAGTGACATCCAAGCATACCAAGCTTCTTGAAGGCCGCACTCTTCCATGCCGGCGCTATGCAGTGACATCCCCAGCCCCAGCTTCTCCAAGCAGGCAAAAGAGGCTCCCCTCTGAGAGAGCTTGCAGGCCGAAACAGATGGCGTTTATTGCCAATGGCTTTGCAAGAGCACGGGTCCCAGCCAAGCGCCAGCCATGCAGCACCAGCTTTCCCTAACATCACACGTCTCAATTATCCGCAATTTATCTACATGAGCGTCGGTTCATTTCTGGGCACTGCTGACTGAGGCTGAAGTCCCCGATCGGGAAGTTTTCGATCGTATGCCTTCCAGCTTAATCACCGAGTGATGCCAAGTACCCAAGCCGCGGTCACAGATTAAGGTCAGACCAGGCTATCCACTGCGTCGACGACTTCGATCCGCGAGCCTGGGCCCAGGTCGACAACACAGACACTTTCTCCAACTACGAAGCAACCACGACTCAAAGTGCTCGATTCGGGATATCAGCAGGAAGCCGAGCCGGAAGCTGGCCTGGCCAGTCTGAAAGCTGTCTTGCAATCATTGTTTCCGTGTCGCTCAAAGAACAGAAGACTCCAAATCCGAAGGGCATGACATTGGTGAAGGCAGTAGACTGCTCACAGCTTGGCCGTGGTGAATTCCGCCTCGTTCCCACGATGGCAGAAGGACAGAATGCAAATGAAGAGCTGCCGTGCTGCAAGGACGCAGCATTGTTCCTCAATGCCGGGTCCTCAGAACAGAAGGAACCAGCCGCAGCGTCATGGTGCTTCAGTCTTTAGCCGCTGTTCAGAGCTGAGGCTTTTGCCAAGCTCCAGTTCCGGGACTTGGCGCTGTTCAAGGTCTTCTCGAAATCGATCCGCAGGACGATGTGCTTTGAGCATGGCTTGAAAGTCCGACGCGAGAATGTGGCAGGAGTACCCCGACTGGCTTTGGCGAGCAGCAACTCGCCAAAGCCCTGGTTTTGCGCTGCCCGTGCTGCATCCATTTTTCATCACCGAGGTGGCTTTGAACATATGTACAGCTATGTCCCTTTCTGCGAGGCACTCATTTCCAACGCATATGCTAGGCTGGAGGCGGGCTTTAGATGCACTCTTGTTGCACGACGCGATGCTGCACCACAGCTCGGCTCGACCTAGCCAGCCCTCCCCGCTTGATAACCGAAGTTTGGCCAGTGTCATCCTCGAACTTCGCCAGCTGCCAGATCTCAAGCTACATCATAGGCGATGTAGAATTTTCGGAGCGATTTTCTTGTCGTGCTGCGTGCGGATCTCATCATCGATCGTATGTAGCTGTAGCCTGATCTAGCAGAATGATGAATTGGATCCCCAGGCCAGAAGAATGGCAAGCATCGATGACACGCTTAAGGAGGCGGCTTGCCCCCAACCACTCTCAGCCTCAGCAAATGCAAAAGCGCAGCAGTCGCGCTGAAGGCCATCAACCAGTATGTTGATGCTGATTTGGTGACAGATGAGCTCAAGGAGGCACGACAAAATGCAGAAAGGAAGCAAAAGGTGGGTGGTCTGGGGTCCGCCAGTTGTTCTGCTCGTAGCGAAGACTTTGCAGAAGAGACTACGGGTTCCACAAAGTTTCAAGACTCCTCTCTCACATGCCGGTGGGCCCCAGACAATCGTGCTCGAATGGTCGTGTTTCTCAGCCCGGATTTTTCCCCGGCGAAAGCTGTGATGTAAAAAGCTGGTTTTTGTGGACAGGTCACGCTGAAGAAAGTGCTGGAGGCTTTGGATGCCAAGCGCATCGAGTTGTTGGACATTGTGCTGCATCTGGAGAAGGCAACTCAGAGTCTTGATCTTGTCGTGCAGCCTCGGACCGCTTAGGGGTGCCACCGTGCACATGCCCAATGTTCAATTCATGCGACGATCTAGACTTTAGCAAATCTTTCGAGCATGTCTGCGCGAGAATCAAGCCAAGAAGTGCCAGAGTTTCGCGGCTCCTCTGGCTCCCGTTGGTTTGATGAGTTTGATGTCAGCCCCAAGGTCTGAAGCCTTCATGTAGGAAAAAATTCCTGGCAGTGGCCGCTAACCTACCCATTCACCTCGCTTAGACACATGCTCGCCGCGAAAGGACTGCACGACTTGAATTACAGAGTGCGCTCAGGAAGATCGCCTGCCTGTAGGACTGCAGGCAGCATCAGCCTCCACGCTGCCTTTGCCCTGTGACGGAAGCTGCTCCGTCGCGGAACGGAGCTGTCCATATCAATGGGGCATTCGCGATTGCGCCTGCTGACTGGTAGACCCACGCGAATGATTACAACGGGACAGCACGGCAAGCGAGCACTGCGTGCGGCCAAAGCAGGGACGACGAATGCCGAAGAGGGTTCTATTGAATCGCAGCGATGCCGGCAAATTCTTGCTTGAGCCGTGCTCCCCGATGCTTGCAGCAGTCAATGCTTGAAATTTGCGGTTGTGGAACAGCGGAACAGGTGATGAATGATGCCAGCAATCCCACTGGGCGCAGGCAGGGGCAGATTATGCTAGAGTGCAGCCTTGCTTTGTCCGCTGACCAGGCATGCACTCCAATTTCTAGCAGAGTGTCTCCGGGATGTTGCACATCTCAAGATGAACTTCAAGCACGTGGTGCCCGCGGCTGAACACGAGAAGCTTTTCGAGTTGTTGTTGGTTGAACTCTTCACTGTATGCTTGAGCATCTAGAGATCACTCAACGCATGTTGAGTTGTGGCGTGCAAAATCCTGCAAACGTAAACCATCTTTCGATTGAGACTGACTATTCGCAGCAGTGGCTTTTGCAAACACAAGGATCCGCGAAGTACTCGTTTGCAAAAAGGAGCCTTTGGAACTTGCACCCCCGCCGAATCGCGCCCGAGGCCAACAGACCAAGTTGTTTCATCTGAATGGTCGTTTGTTGTCCAGTGTCAGGCGTGCAGCGCCTTACAAAAGTTCAGGTTTGCGTGGGAAGTCAGGCGGGAAAGTTGTTGCAACCGGCGGCAGCTGCATGTAAAACGCGCAGACAGCTTCCGGGCGGAACCTGGGAAGGTACCATGAGTCACGAGGGAGGTCAAAGCCCATTGACTGAGTGCAGCTGGCAGTGTCTCAGGAAACATTTGCCAGCTTCTTCTCTTCCAAGCTGAGCGACTGGCAGTGTGTAGAGGGAGCTGTCGGCGGCTGCTTTGCAGCAAAGCCATGCTGAAAGCCTCCAATGGTCCAAAGATCATCTTGCTGCAATACCGGGCCTGGGCATGTAAAGCCGACTGCTCGGAACTTCTCAGGAATTCTGGCCTTGCTGCGCCGGCAGGGTGCGCTGGTGCGCACTCTAAAGAAGGAGCTGCCCGATGGAACCGAGGAGCACGGGGCTCAGGGAGGGTCCGCTTCCGCTTGGTCCGCATGGCTTCCGGTACAGTTCGGCTCGGAGAAATGCTCTGAGCCTTGAGCGAGTCTCGAGGCCGCTGGCTTTGTACATTGCTCGAGCAATCTTCAAGGAGGCAGGAAGCAGCGCCGGACAGCTGCGCAAGCCTTTGCCATAGCCACATGCGAGCAACAGGTGCATACGCCATCCCACACACAGGCCAGACGGCATGAGTGTCACGGGCGGAGCGTTCGACTGTCGTGTCCGGGACGGGTGGTGCATTCCTAGCATTTCCTGGCCTGGATTTCTGCTCTTTGGTGTCGTACAGACCGTCTCCACCCGCATGGCACAGCCCAGTTGCCCAGGCCGTTAGAAAAATGGTGCTGGACACCGTACCTCGGCGTCGTAGCCCTGCATTATGTGAGAAGATGGTCGACCTTTCACTGCAGCAAGGCGATCCTCTTGATGGATGAGTGGCACTCAGATCTGGTCTTGCTTGGGCCACAACTTGGCGAGGGCGTGGCAGCTGCCATCGAGGACACTTTGTTTGAAACGCCGAGCTGCATGCAGTGGTATCCAAAGCCGTGAGCTGACACAGGAAGAGCGAGATCCACGAAACTTGCTTGTGTCGTTTACGATCGTGAAGAAGGCCGGCAGTACGTGCACAAGTGCTGATCTTGTGACCCTTGCTTGGTAGCATTAGGCGAGCACATGTGGTGGTGCAAGCATTGGTGCTCTTGTCATGCACGAGCATGTCGTGCGGATCGCTGTGAGCTTGTTTGGGTCGTCAGGCGTTCCAGGACTTTCCGCCCGAGTGCATCACAAAGGAAACAGCCATCACCCTCTTCGAGACACTGTCTTCATATTTCCCAATCACGCTGCGCATCAGGAACTTGAGTTGTAAACTTCGAGCAGGCATTGCTAGAATAGTGCTTGAACTTTCCACGATTCCGTAAGATCTGCGACTGTACCTGTAACATCGCCGTCGCACAGTGCCTGTCTGCTTTGAGAAACCAAGGTTTGAGCCCCCAAAGGGTGATAAGATTGGCATCACCGGAGAGGACCTGCGTCGAGGCTTGTCCCAGGCCTGTGCCAGACCCTATCACAGCAACAGCAAATGTCGAACGAGTTTAGCCAGTGTCATGCTGTTGTAATCTCAGTCCCGGCTGTGCCGCTGTGCTGCAGCAACGATCTTGATGACCCCTTGTCTTTGACAGGCGCTTTGTTCAAGTGACAGATTGGCAAACTATGCCGCTAGCACTCATTAGAAGATTCTGAATTCAGAGAAGCTTGTGATAGCATGATTGAACTTAACCGGGAATGATCAGACTTCAACAAGGTCGTGCCTTTTCTCCTTGACTCCAGCTGCTTGGTAAAAATTGCTTTCTTTGGTCTATCGGGATCGGCTGCGGCTGGAAGTATGTTCGTTGCTGAGCGGGGGGCAGGGTGAGGACAGTTCGCAACTGGCACCACACCAGGCTGCGCAAAGAAAGAGTGTAAGACTTAGGACTGCACACCAACGGAAGCTTGAGAATTCCTCGGTTTTTGAAAGAAGACCACCCACAGTACCAAGCCCTGCACAGCAGAGGCCGACAATTTGCCAAATGGCACAGCGTGCGCAGTGGGGAAACGTGTCGGTTTCAAGTGCAAAGCCCACAAGACAAGCTCTTTTGTTGTTGGTTGCTGGTTCCGTGTCATTTCCATGTTGTTTTCGTCTCGTCCATGAATTGGGCGCTTACCATTTGACGGTGCTTCCAGCAGAAATTGTCAATGCATCGACTCAGGCAAGGACATTGAGGCAGACAGCGATGCCACTGTAGAACAAGCAATGGGCACACTGCAGTTTTGTTTGGAGACCCTCGGCTTGAAGGTATCGTGGCGACGCTGGAAGTCTTGAAGAGCAAGCAAGCTTTTCGCATGTTCAGCGCGCCACGGCAGCTTGCCGCCTGGCCAAGGAAGTACGGGCAGCAGACCGCGCAGAAGTTCCTCAAGGACATTATAGAAACCGCCAGAGACCAGGTATGCCGCACCAAGACGACATGCAGTGCTGATTTTTGTGCTGCAGCCCCTTGATTGCAAGTGAGGGCAAAGGTCGCCAGATTTCGCATTGGGCATGACATCGGCCAGTCTTGAGTCTTGAGCTGCAAGGTCACAAAAGCACTGCAGATCGCCATGAAGGGCATTCCTGCCGGCCTGCACCCACATTGGCTATCCAAGGACGCAGCTCAACTTCAGAACGTCGTCGGAGAAGTTTGTATATTACCGGCTGTCCCGAAGCTTTCATGAACACGAGCATAAGTTGCAAGCAAATGCGAGGCTCAAACACCACTGGATTCTTTTTTGGGGCCACTGTCAGCGTTCCCAGCAGAAATGTTTCTGTCAGAATCTTCCAGGGCGACTCGAAGATGACTCGAAAGAGCTTTGTTCAACCATCGTGAAGTGGCGTTAGTGCTCCGCCGCCGTCCTCGCTGCCTGTCGATTGTTGTTCCTTCTTCCCGTCCTCGCCGAATTTTTGGACATGATGTCCACATAAAGCTGGAGCCTTAACTGCCGTTCCTGGGCTGAACTCAAAAGATCATCTAGCAACTTAGCAGTTGTTTTCCATTCGGGGTCTCGTATCAGGTATCTCCAGAAATCAAGGAAATTGCCGAGGATGCTTCCCGAGGCCCGTGGTTTGCTGGGAGCTCCTTGCGCCGTCTCCGTCTTGCGTGAAGGCCGAATGTCCTTAGCTTCCGACGGGGCTCGAGAGCTCCTCCTTGCCATGGCCACGGCGCACCGAGCAGCTCAGTCTTAAGCCGGCAAGTCGGCCATGCCTTGCATGATCCTGCATGCTTTGCCTCGTGTTTATCCCAGGTCATGTTCGAGTCTGTATGGCGGCCGCTTATGGACGCCATGCTGGTCAAAACCGACAGCTCGGAGAACGCTGCATTCAACATGGATTCCCTATCCTTCTTGGTGGACCTGCTTCTGTTAAGACCAAAGGCACGGCTGCGGCTTAAATCCTAGGCAATGCACAAATCACCAATCGGAGTCGTTTTTGACACCTGCTGGCTTCTCTGCACGCTTGTTTCTGCGATGTTGACACACTCCGCTGCTCTACTTGACCTTGCTCCTTTTGCAGATCTGTGTTTCGTCAGGGCAGCCTCTCGCCAAAGCAACTCCAACCAGCACTGGCTGGATCCCTTGCCAGCCTTTTCTCCATCCATCCGTACGAAGCTGGTGACGATGATGGGGTCCAGGGTGGGAAAGCCAAAATCTTTTGCACTGCTGTGGAGCTGGTCGGGTGTTTTGGCTGTACTGTACATGATTGTACATGGCATGCTAGCTGCAGACCCCAATCCCTGCAGGGTGCGTGACCTGAGGCATTTGTCTCTCGGGGTCGGCGAGGCCAATTCCAAGGAAGCATTTGCTGCTTTGAGAGATGCACTGCTTGGTACTGGGGCCACTGGAGCCAACGGCGATTTAGGAGGTGCGCCGATCTGAAATCGCCAGTTCTGAAGCGCGCAGCTCGTGGCCTGTGGCAGCCTGGCCCAGGTCAAGCTTGGGCACAGGCCTGGCACGCGGAGCCGCCGGAGACCTAGGGACTCGAGGGACGTGCAAGGTGCTGCAGGCATTGCAGACACTTCTTCATTCTGGCCATGCTATCAGGTCGGTTAAGGCGGCCAGCGATCCGTGTGTGGCTTCGTTGGTAGAAGCTGCGCCTCAGCAAGGAAAAATGACTGGAGCCCAAGTGCAGCTTTATGTCCTGACTGGCATAGGTGCAATGCATAATTCCGTTTGTGTCGAGAATTTCGCGAGGCATGCTTATGGCACACGGAGGTAGACCGTGACGGCGGCCGAGTAGCGGGGTCTTCCAAGTCAAACTAGTTCTCCACGGGCAAGCCTACACGTATCCAAGCGCGTCACCCTACATCTCGCAAGGTAAAGGTCCAGGAAATTTGGTTAAACCTTACGAAGAACGGACTGCACTCATTGCTGGGTACGCCGGAACAAATTATCGGCAAGGCTCGGGCGGCAAGAATGTGTCAAGATATGTGAAGATCCCCTGTGGTTGGTAGTTGCTGTCATTGCTTCTGCGCCTCTATTAGAGATAATGAAGCACGTGCGCATTTGGACATCGTCTCTGGGCGGGGGAAAAAGCCGCAGGCACGAGGAAGCAAGCTTGCAATAGCAGTATACTAGTTACTAGCATTCAAACAGGAGGCGACGCTACCTAGTAAAGCGATCAACTCGCGCGAGCCATTTCAAAAGTCGGTACTCAACGCGGATGGAGTCATGGGGCGAGTGAAAAGACTGAAGAGAAGCACCCGGGCTGCTGCGTGCTACCTTTCAACCTCGGCCCTGATTTATGTTGTGTTCCAGCGGGGCCCAATATAATATTCAAACATACTTGTTACTGGTTTGCAACGAAATTCTTATTTTGGCGCATAGACATCTTGGATAGTATTCCTCATAATCTTACCAATGTCATCTGCTAGCCGCTAGCCTGTTTCCTTTTGCTTTCCCGCCGCAGTCTTAATTGTCGCGTTCCCATTGGCCTTTTCGATGCTTGTATGTCCGTCATTAACATAGTCATCTCATGTTTTTCCTCACAATTACGGAAAGCAGCTAACATTGTTATGTTGTTAGCTTTCTGTTCTGGCATGAGCGTGATGTTACTTCTTTGTGTGGTTGTTTTGCTCTATTGTGACAAATTATGCAACTTATATATAACATCATGGATACGATGTGTTATGCAACTCAGCATTACTAAGTAGTTTCAAGAACATTGTTTTATTGCATTAAGCTTTAAGACTTTAAGCAACTCGCGTCTTGGTTCTGTCCTAAACGATGTGTAGATGTTTTGTAGGAGGAATTGTGGGCTACTGTACGCTCACACTTTCGCTATCTACCTTAACCTTCTATGTCCAACATCAGGCTCTGGATACTTCTGTTAATTACTGATTGTAGTGCAACGTGTGATGTTGCTTTCAGTTCGTTTCTCTCCATCCTACCTTTCTGAGGTGTCACTCCTATGCTATAGCGCGTATCTTCAATGTTGTATAGGTTCAAGCTTTTTTAGCCATGCTCCACTGTATCCCTGCTGTACCGTTTTCTCACCAGCCTGCATTCAGTTAACCAGTTCAGGTTTGAATGTCTTGACGCCTCTGTCAGCAAAATTGGATTGTTCACGGGCTCAGTGTGTTTCTATGTCCTCTTTGTCCAGGTACTCTCTTACAAACATTTTGCCACCAACACTATCCTCTCCATCTGAGTACGGTTTCCTCCTATTTTCTGTCCCCCTTCCATACCAAACCAAACCAGCACCTGTGCCCTTGCTCTTAAAGGGTTCTTACAGACGGGTACTGCAATAGACTTGCTACTTATGTCTATCATAACCAAGCCTACCCCAACTTGTTGATTAGGTAGTCATGCGTAGGCAGAGTTCTCCCCTGACCTTCTTTTTCTGCTTTTCAACATTGCTCTCAAAGCATTGCCGGACATCAACTGCAGTTGTTGTGGTGACGTTTCGCTCCGTTGCTTGGTCTGTCTTCTGGGCACTTCCAAGACCTCTTCTGAGATTATGAACATCTTTAATTAGGTCAGCCTTGTGTATCTCTCATGTTAACCGAATCCGTTACCAGTGGCAAAATCTACAACTACACAACGAACATCGCCATACAGTTATCGTTGACACTTGAAACTTTCTGTCTCATCTACGGGTTCTGCTGTTAAGTTGCTTCTTACAGCCCCACCCACTTTCTCAATCGCATATGCTTCTCCACCAGGACGGCATGATCCATTCATCCGATCCTTCCGCCATCCTACATTAATCTTACTGTCATTTCTCGTTTTGTTTCCCTATCCTGTTCCAGAGAGTTGTGCCGTTGTGTTTGTACTCATTTTGCTCCTTCCTCCTCGGGTTAGTGAAATAATGTGGAACAACCAAGTGTCCACAGTGCCCCCTTCCCTTAAGTTTAGGGTCATGGCTTAGCAGGACTGCATTCGTCGCAGGATGCAGTCGAGTATAACTTCGTATTCCCAGTCCGTGTGCCAACTGCACGAATCCGTGGTGAAGCAGCGCCGCATTGGTGCAGCTGAGGTATGCAAACTTGTTTCTAGCCATGCGAGCAGAGCGACTGAATTTGCCCAATCGCTGCAGAATGTCACGTTGAACGCATCACCGTGCCTTGGCCTCGAAACAGTGCATAGACGAAGTGCTGCTCGGACTGGAGATGCAGAGTGTGTCACTGTTTTTTTGCACAGCGACACCTCGACCGAGAGCGCACAGCGCACCTGAGACGAAGAGCTCTTTTGGGACAGTTGTCGGATGATGAGCTCGGCTCCAACTGCAGTACAAGAACTCCAGAGTCACAGAACCGCATGACGGCAATGTGTTCTACTCTACTGGATCGGCTCGTCTTCGAGGGCACGCAGACCGCTTGCGTACTAGATTTTGCATGCCAAAAGCTTAAATAGAGAGCACGTTGCAATGTAGCACTAAAAGGCGGTTCGGTGAATAGATCAAGGGTTCAAAGAAGCTTCGACCAACTGCTTATTGCACGGGTGCCGTTTCAAAATGCCAGAGCAGACTAACAGACAGACCAGCTGGAAAGACTTTGACATGGCAGTGAGAGAGTGGCGTCCGGCCCGGCTTTTGTCCGTGGGAGCAGAGCGAGGCGAGAGCAGGCCAGAGTGAAATCCACGCAATGCCCGACCGAGGGAGTGCGAAATGGCTGAAGCGCCACGGCTTGCTGAGGTGGCTGGCATATGTGCTCCCAAAGCTACTGGCCTACACGGCAGTGAGCCTGGCAAATGCCAAGGAAGCACAGCCGGAGCAACAAGCAGGACATCGCCGATGACACTACATCCTAGCGGTCCTACTCGTAATTACAGTAGCTCCAAGTCAAGATTCTGCGCCTGCACGGGTTCGAAGGATGTCCGAGTATGTCTGAGCTGAATGCTCCAGTGTGGGTTGCGAAAGTACCAGAGGCACTGGACATGACAGGGATTTTTGTTTTGGCCGCGAAGCCTCACGAGCAGGCTTCGAGTTTGCAACGTACAATCTAGAGTCTGGACTCTAGACCTGGCGAGAACTCCATCGGTGTCGGTCGCTTGCGACTTCCGGTGTAAGATCTAACGTGAGGCGAAACTGTGTCGGCGGAATGTAAAGGCAGTAGCAGCAGTCGTCTGCTCAAGAAAGAGTTCGGTTGAAAACCCTGCAGGAGCAGAGGAGCTGAGCTGCAAGTTGCTGCAGCGCCGCTCTGGCTGAACTCCGTGGAGCTGAGATGAGCTGAGTGTCCTTTTGTGGTGTTGTCTTGCTGGGAATCAGTGGGGAATGAAGGAATGAGGTAGCTGCTTCCGCGTTATGAAGGATGTTTGTAAACTATGGGCTACCGCAGGCAGGGGAAAGAAGAGTTGGTTTGAAAACAACAGCGGGTTGCGCACGTGTGGTACTTCAGAAACCAGTGCAATTTTCCCAACGAAACACAACGAAACGACAGCCCGACTTGATTGGAAAATCGTTTTCGCTGTGAAACCAACGAAGTAGATCTG